AAAGTGCCGCAGAAGCTGAACTCAGAGCGATAGCACATGGGATTTGTAAGGGCTTGTGTTGCAAAAGCTCCTCAATGATCTACAAATTGAGGTGGAATTACCTATCAAGCTCTATTCTGACAACAAGGCCGCCATCAGCATGTCCCATAATCCAGTCCAACGTGATAAAACCAAACATGTTGAAATAGACAGGCACTTCATCAAGGAAAAGATTGGAAATGGAGTGGTGTGCTTGACCTATGTTCCGTCAAAGAAGCAAGTCGCAGATGTCCTTACCAAGGGACTTCCAAGAGACAGTTTTAATGAACGCGTAAGCAAGTTGGACATGATTAACATCTATGATCCAACTTGAGGGGGAGCGTGGAAATATTCTGCCATTAATTGTACAGATTTTATTCTGTCATTGATTAGCTCTTTATTAGGCTTTATTAGCTTTTATAAGATATTATTATTCTGTCTCTCTAGGTGTATATATTCAGATGTAATGTACCATTCAAAATGAGTAATAGAATTATATTTCCCATAAGATTCAAATCATCAACAAAACAGCTCTATTCCTACACCTACATCTCGGTCAAAACCCAATCCTACACCTAAAGTAACCCTAGACATTGAAACAGAAGCAGAAATGGAGATGCTGGAAACAAGACAATGAAAACACTAGAACAGCTTGAGCAGATGGTGAACATCCTCCAGAAGTGCCAGAAGGGCCCTCTAGTGCTGAGCAACATCAATCCTCACCTCCTACTCTTGATCCTGATAACCTTGGAGGCCAACTGCCTTGACAAAAAGGGAATGAGTCACACTCAAAATCCTATCAGTCATTTTGTCTCTTATGATAAAATATCATCTTCCATGCAAGGTTTTGTTGCTAGATTAAATGAAAAACAATTGCCAAATAGTTTTGAAGAGGCAGCCCGTGACTCAGACTAGAAGAAAGGAAATGAAGAGGAACTTGGAGCCTTGCACAAGAATGAAATATGACAAGTTACCTAGTTACTAGATGGGAAGAAGACAGATTGAACCAAGTTAGTATAGTGTTTTCCCCTGCATTTTTAATACACTTAGCTAGATTCTTGAGCGGTATTACATATTTTATAGCCTTTGGTAGACTAAGAGTAGTTGCACTGTTTTAAAGTTAAGATTGCATGTTTTACATCTTACTATCATTGATCTTGGTTTACCTTGATTCCATGAACCTTTTGACACTGCACAATGCTATTTTAATCTTGTAAGTACCTTGGAATATGAAGGGAGAAGTGCAAGACTCAAACTTAGGCCAGCAAAAACTTAAGATTCAAAATGTCTGTGTGGAGCCTCCTCTCTAGAATCGTCGCCGCGACGACAATGCGATTTCAAAACGCACAGTTTCAGATTTTGATGCAAAAATGGAACAAACCCACACCCAACATGACATGGAACTGGCTCTTCCTCAATTGGGTTATTAGGATTCGACCTAATACCACTAAGGAGACATTCATTCACCATCCATAGCCTCCATTCCATTTTTGTTTTCTGCACTTTTCCACCATCTTTTCCACCATCTTTTCCACGTCTAGAGATGGGTTTCATCATTACCAAGCATGGCTGAAGCTCTCAAGCTCTCTTGAGGATGGGTTGAAGGTGCTAAGGGCAATGGATCATCATTAGGGGAGTTCTTTCTTAGTTCCACTTGTGTATTTAGATTTTCTATACATGTATTTTGGTTACCTAGCTTCTAGATGTTCAGTTTCTATGTATGGTTGAGAATCTATTCATGTAAGTGAAGGTTCTATGATTCGATTGTGTGTTTGGATTGGTATTTGTATTAAATACTTTGGTTATGATTAATGTGATTTCAGTTTAAGCATTTCTAATAAGTTAACTCTTGTGGTGTTTTAATTCTTGTTTAGACTTGCTTTGAGATTGTGTTACTTGACTTCATGGGTTGAGCTTGTTGTGTGTGTTTTTCAGTGGCTGGTGCTTAATTGAACTCCACTTAACAAGACTCACTTAAAAAACCAATAGAAATAACCCAATCTAACCACACAAATATGATTAAGTGCCCTAACTTCTGTTATGGTTAGTTAAGATTCAGTGGCTTAATATTCAGTGTCTTTAGAAACCACACTAAGCCACTATATTGAATAATTGGATTTTGATTAATTATTTACATAGGCTAGTTGTGAACTCTTTGGTGTGAAGATTTTTCATCAATTGGAGTTAGCTTAAAGAATTAGTCATGGAACTAAGTTTAATTGTACCCAGACCCCCAACGAATGAACCATTGCTTGACACTTGATTTCCTAACTCAAGAGAGCATCCATCTCATATTGCATTTCAAACCATTTTCTATTTTCCTAAATCCAAAAATGTTTTCATTACATTGCAAAGTTTTATTTTGTTCTCCAAAATAATTTTTTATCACTTCAATCTACCTTTTGTTGCATATAGTTACCCAGGGCGTTTAATAAATTGACTCCTTAGGTACGACCCTGGTGGCTACTTTACTGCAATATTTGGTTTATAAATATTATTGATTTTAACATCCCAAGGCATAAGGAAAAAGGTTAGATCAAAGATACAATGTAAATGGGCTTTCACAAAGAAGTATAACTCAGATAGAACAATTAATAAGTACAAGGCGAGATTGTTGGCAAAGGGTTATTACTCCTAAACATATGGAATTCATTACCAAGAAACGTTTGCCCTTGCAGCAAAATTAAATACCATCAGAATTCTTATTTCCTTAGCAGCCAATCTAGACTGGCCTCTTCAACAACTCAATGTGAAGAACACTTTTCTAAATGGTGATTTGGAAGAAGTGTATATAGAGGTGCCACAAGACCTAGCCAAGAGAAATACACCAAGAATGGCATGTAAACTCTTTTAAGTCACTCTATGGTTTGAAACAATCACCTAGAGCGTTGTTTGATCAATTCACCAAAACAGTAAAAAGAGTGAGGTTTATACAGTGCTGCCATGGGCCAAATATTGGTACAACACTACCTTTCACAGCTCTAATGGATTGACTCCCTTCAAAGCCTTTCATGGCAGGGATTTGCCCCTTTTGCTGAGATGGAAAGACTAGCCTTTAAGAGTCCAAGAAGTGGATTAGCAAATCCAGGAGAGAAATAAGATTCTGGATGAATTAAAAACTCAATTGGAACGTCCTCAAACCAGAATGTAGAGCCAAGCTTATTAGCATAGAACAGACGTGGAATTTTCTGTTGGTGAATCGACATATCTCAAGCTCAAACCATACAAGTTTCATACCTAGCAAGGAAAGTGAATGAAAAGCTGTTTCCGAAGTACTATGGCCCATATTTAGTTGCTGAGAGATTAGGAAAAGTTGCCTATAGACTTGAGCTGCCTGAATCAACAAGAATACACAACGCATTTCATGTTTCCCATCTCAAAAAAAGCTCTTAAACCATCAGTTGAGGTTCAACCTCTACCAAGGGATTAATTGAAGAAATAGAGCTTCAAGTTGAACCTAAAACAGTAAAAGAGGTGCGTAGGGCTGAGGATGGGACTGTTCAGCTTTTAATGAAGTCAAAGGCTACCCGAGCACGAGAACACATGGGAGGATGCTCCTACTATTCAGAATCAATTTCCCACATTCCACCTTTAGGACAAGAAAGGGGAAATGATGGATCCATTAAACGCTGGGGCCAGAAATACAAGAGAAGCGCCCATGGTGATGGATCTGGGCCTAATAAGAGGAGTTCATGGGGGTGGATCCGGCAAGGTAGCACACCAAATGAAAGGCAAAATGGGAGAACATGAAGGGCAACAAATTTCTGATAGCAGCAAGGTAGTGGGGTGGTTTATTTTGTCGTAACGTAGCTTTTGTGTAGGCATGGAATTGTCTTGGACGACTGTGGAGAGGTTCTAGTCTCTCAAAAACCAGTGTGTGTTGCTGTTATGTTCTTGATGTTGTTAAGATTCATATTGTACTCTCTTTAATTTGCCTAAGTAAAAAAAGTTACTCAGCATATTTTATTCTGGAATTTCACAACTATTTTGACATCTCTATCAGATTTATCACCGGGAGAAGTATTCTTGTGGTCTATGGCATGAAGCATCATATGGTATTCCGCAATAGTGGTTTTGAGGTGGTGATCTGCAATGACGAAGGGGAAGGACATTCAGCAATTTTGGAGGAAGGTAGGGTCTTAATGTGAAAGGACAAACTTGTCAATAAATTAAAAAATTGAGGGTGTAATAGTCTTAAAAACGTCACAGCTATGAAACTCATTTCAATTCCATAGGTCATAGAGTAGAACTAGGTTCAAGCCTTTTAGCTAGAACGGACTTGCATAGAGAAGGTTTCCAATGCACCACCAAACGAACAAAATTATTGGTTTCACTTCCCCTTCCATACTATTAAACAGGGCATTAGGAGTCATTGACTAGGCCATTGGAAATAAAGTGGAGAGCCAATAGCCTCAAGACTGAATTGACTGTAGTTAGTGAAGCAATGTAAATTTACAATCCTGCAAACTCTCGCCTAGTAGGCCTACAAGTGAACTAAAACCAAAAGAACATAAATGAAATAAAAATAAACTAAAACAACTAATTAAAAAAAAACAAAATTGTTGGGATTTAAGATCAGCAACAATAGAAAAACATGTAAGCCCATAAGTTTTCCCAGGTGAATGTACAAAACAAGATAATGGTCAACAAAAGGCCTCAAACTAGATTTGCAAGAATCCCCAAAAATGCGTAATATGTTGTTACTCCAATCTTACACATGGATTCCCCTAAACAGAACCATAGGCAACAGATATTATTGAGATTTGAAAGGAAATTTAGTTGCAACAGTACTTATTTAATTCAAGGAAGACGTGTTTGCTACCCACTTTTCTTTGACTTGCCTATATAAGATAAATGCAAACTAAATAGAATCCTTTCATATTTATCTTTATTTTTTAAACCAACAAAATGGTCCAAATATTCAGAATGGTGGCTCAAAAACTAAAGAACGGCACTTATTCTTTTTTCCACCCTCGGATTACCTCAGCAAGTAGGGCAACAACAACAGCTGAAATACAGGGTATCTCTTCAGCAAGTTGGAAGATAACACGGACAATCGTGAAGACTTGGAGATCTTTCAACTGAACCAGAAAAATAATGATAACTGTTTGAAACTCCGTAAAGGAACAGGACTTTATCAAAAACAACTATAAGAGACAGGAGAGAAGAGCAGTCATCTGAGTTTAACCTGAATGGGGATTGATGCAACCAGTGCCGCTTCAACAGCCAGAATAATGCTAGGATCACCTCCCCACCGGAAATCAATGTCCATAATGATTTGGCCTTTCTTAAGACTCTGAACACGAATACCTATAAGAATTAGGAATTTACACACAATTAGCTCATGAACTAAAGAAAAATTCAACAGAAAAGTGTGATCATGGGAAGGCGCAAAAGAAGGAGCAGGATATAAAACTGCATTTACATGAAATTTGGTAAATTGCTCTCCCTTGTCCTAAAAGATGCACCAGTTCGAAAAACCCTTCCCTTTCAGAACTATAAACTTAATGTTTAAACCAAGATGCCCCAAACAAAAATGTCCATTTCTTTTTGTTCAAAATATAACACTAAATAACATTTATTACACTTTTATTTCACTTCTATTTATTTTGGGCTGAAAAGTAGAAAGTTAATATTATAATATATTACATTCACAGAGAATAGTGAAAATAGTCATAGCTGTTGTTATTAATACATATATTTAACATAAACATTTCCCTTGAAATTAAATTAGGGTTGAAGTGTAAATTTGTCTCATAAGTTTTCACTAAGGAGCGTTCGACACTCAAAAGTTTTTCTGAATACAAATTTATCCTAAAAGTTTAAAATCGTAGCAATGTTGCCTCCCTACGATTAAAAAACTAATGTTGACCGTTAATATTTTAAATGATAGGAGGATAACATTGCTATGATTTCAAATTTCTGGTGCAAATTTACACCCAAAAAAGTTTTCAGGTGCCTATCGCTCCTAAATAAGAACTTCCGAAGAAAATTTGTGCCTTAACCCATTAAATTATTATCTGTAATTATCTATAAATTAATTAAAAACAAGACAACATTTATTATATTTTGTCAAAAAAAAAATTTCAATCTTTTCTAAGTTTATAAAATTAGCTATTTCATATTAGTAAAAAATGCAGATTGAATAGATTTTGGGATGTTTTACCAGACGAGTTTCATGTAAGGAATTTAAAAAGTTTTAAAGCACATTAAGATTCACCAATTATAAGAGCACCCACCAATTTTCCTCTTCAATATACAAAAGCTAATATTTGTATATATTGTTAATGTGAATGTACCTACAGCCATGCATACCATCTATGGCGCATATATTACACATTTTCCATTCCGCAGTATTATCCATGACCAAGCTTTATCTCAGAGTTGTGTCCATGCTTGCGATTCATAGGATACAGCCTTTATGAAGTTAATAAATACTCTGAATTGATTTATAGCACAAGTATTAAAGTTCTTATTATGGTAAAATGCATGGACAGGAAGCAGGAGTTCCTTCTCCCACCTCCACATAAAACTCTTACAAGGGGGAGAAAAAATGGCAACCCACCAAACAAAAACTAGAGCAATTATTGACAGTATGAACATACAAATTAAAAAAACACATGGCTAAGCAGAAGTCTAATCAGATTTTACTCGCAAGTCTCCACCCAAGAAGCCAATCTAGACTCCCAAATACCCCAGCAGAACAACAAAAACAATTTCAGGGAAGGCATGCATGATAACTAAAGAAACAACTATAACATCCCAAATTTTTATTTCAAAGGTTTAAGTAATATCATGAGGAGAATTATTAAGTAAATTAATGCTTACAGTTGACCAATATATTATACGAGGTCTAGAAACTAATAGAGTTTAGAACAATAATGGAATGTGATCGAAAGTTGAAGGGGGGAAGCAAAATAAACTGATTCTGATTATATTGAGGCATCAATTATTACTGGAATAAGGTCCAATTTTGCCATGGAAGTTTTTACTCAGGAGTTGTGGCTATTCAGAAGTTTTTTTTGGAGTAATGTCACCTCAAGAGTTACCAAACCATAGCAATGTCGCCCCACCCATTAGCAAAGTTAATTTTGACTGTTAGCTGACTCCATTGTGCTAAGGTGGCTCTAACAGTAGGATATCATGCCACATAATACTCCGCCTATTATGCCACATAAGCATTATCATCTTCCTTTCACTCTTTCACCCATAAAATCCCAACCCTACCCCCTGCTTCTAAAACCCTTCTTTCACCCCTTTATCTACTCCCTTCCCTCTCACACTTGATGCCTCCTTCTCCCTCCTCTCTCGCCTTGACCTTGCTGGCAACACCAACACCAATGATCTAAAAGGTTTCTCTCAAATCTACGACACGAATTATAGAGAAACATGTCCTCCAGTAGCTAAGCTCAATACAGCAAGAATCCCGTGATGTCTTTGGCAGCAAATCTAGACTGGCCTATCTACCAACTAGACATAAAGAAGGCATTCTTGAATAGAGATCTGAAAGAAGAAGTATATATGGTGCCACCTCCTAGGTTCGCAACCAGGAAACCAAAAATGGTATGCAAATTGAAGAAATCTATTTATGGGCTGAAACAGTCACTTGGTGAGTGGTTTGAACATTTCACACACGTCCTAAAGGTTGAAGGATATACTCGGGGACACAGTGACCACGCCTTATTTTTCAAACACCAAGGAGCTAAGAAAACCATCTTAAGCATATATGTGGATGATGTAGTTCTCACAGGAAATGACCTTGAAGAAATGGACAGAATAAAAATGGCAATGGCAAGGGAATTCCAAGTAAAAGATTTAGGGGAAATGAAGTACTTCCTCATAATGGAGGTAGTCCGATCCAAGAAAAGAATCTACATCTAGAGAAAATATGCACTTGCTCCTTAGAGAGACAGGAATGTTAGGCTATAAGCCCAGCTCCATGCCAATTCGTTTTGATCATATGACCAGTGGGTTATAGGCCCACCATGCTTCCGCTGCACCAGCTATATGTGATTTATGATTTCTATATGATCAAACTCGTGTTACAATATTTTATAAAAAGGGTTGAAATATGTTTTGTAGAATTTCCTGTAAAAGTGATTTGAGAACTATGATCTTCAACTATTTTAGAAGCTTCCTTGGAATGGATTTTTGGTAACCAAATCAAGAACTACTTTGCGAAAGGTTTTAAGTAAAGACCTATATAAATTAATTATTGCTGGTTGAACTTGATCTTTGAACTATACTTTATCGATTTCAGTTTGCGTGTATATTTCTGGAAAACCATTGGTTACTGATGTCTCTAGATGTCACCGTTACCATATTATCATTTTTTTTTTTTTCAAGTGAGATTTGAGTAGGGTTTCGGGGAAGTTGTAAGAGAGTGAGTCTAGTTGTAAGCTCACGTTGCCTTTCTCATATACATAAGCAATGCCATGAACAAGGAACTATTTAATATAAATTAGAATATTTTATATGACTTAATTACTTTGAACTATGGATTTAAAAAACCATTGGTTTTAGTGCATGAAAGAGATATTCAATGAAATGTGTATTGTTATTGGATGGAGCCCTCACTTACATGATTTCCTAATAGTGAATTATGATCAAGGGATTAAGCGTTGTCATTTGGGCTTGTGCATATAATATTAGGCTTTAAATGCCTGTAGCACAATTATTATGTCAAGGATCCCCACGTATCTACCTCTGCTATGGTTGTTATCAAATTGTGATAGTTTAGTCTATTAAAAGCTTCAAAAAAAATTGACGATTTCTAAATAACCATAGTGGACCTTCTACATGCAATTTTGTTCTTTTCTACCATGTTTAGTTTTGGAGATTATAAGTTTCATTCCTTTCTACTATGGCAACAAAATTCTTAAAAAAAAAAGGCAACCCTTTCACAATCAAACAGAAACGAAAGCAATCATTAGCAACTATCAGCATCAAAATTTGAAACCAGTTAGGTAAGCAAAAAAAAAAAAAAAAAAGGAATTGGAACATAATCAATAGAATCAATAGAATCTTAACATTGGAAAAACAATAGATTCATTCTCCCAGAAAGTTATTGTTAGGCAATAAAACAACAACATTGTTGAGCTAAATCTTGAACGCAAGCCTTTTTGTCCTTCAAAGATTAGTGCAGAAAATGGCAAAAAGGAAGAGAAATTAAAACCATAAAGTGACATTCAAAAATGCGGAAGACTTGGCGCTAAACATTTTATAAACTCTTTCATTTGTCCTATGCAATGAGCTCCCTCTCCTATTCAATCAATGATCTGTCTTCTCTTAATATACTCCCTCCACATTCAAATATAAGCCCCAAAAAAACAAAAAAGCTGTCTCACTTTGACCTTACTGTCTCAAATTATTTTTTAGACTAAAATGCCCTTCTGATTTCATTTAATAAAGATAAAGCCAACTAATCCCATCCTCTCGTTTAATTGAATTCACTCCATACAAATGCAGAACTCTCACATTCCTCCACACATAAACCGTGGTAAAGGGCAATTTAGGAAAATTGTCATAAATGCTTCTTGAAAATAATGGAGGGAGCATACATATATATATATATATATGGAGAAAAGGTACCTTCAATCTTTGGAGCAACATTTCCGAGAGACAGCTTGCTGAATTTCAATGAAGTAATTCCAGGAGGCCTGTATTCCTCAAGCAGTGGCTCAACAGATTCTTTGATCACCATGGATCCAGCCTAAAGGTAATGAAAACCCAGCAATATTAAGATTGCTCTGCTATTTCAGCAAAGCAGGCAAACACATGTGCCAATAGATTTCCAGGGCAACTTGAGGCAAAAAGGCAAATCTTAAAATAAGATGCAAAGCGCAGCTTGTATAGAACATACAATTAAAAAGCTGATGATTGAGCTCGCTTCTAATATTCAATTATCATATACAAACTTTGTCACAGTATAAAGCATGATATATAAATGACAATAGAGGTAGTCATGTCCAGTATAGGTAGTCAGATTTCAGCTTCCCATTGAAAGATCCCAATTTCAGCATCTCCCAAAATTCAAAAAATTTGATTCAATCTGATCAAAAACATTAATTCATAGTTTGATAAATTAAGAAAATAAAACAAGATCATAAGTCCTCCATAGAGGAGAACACAGAAAAAGCAAAGAAAAAGAAATATTTTAGCAAGCATCTTCCTAATCCCTAGCCACTACATGCTGGTAGCATTCCAGGGTCCCTTGTTCATAAAAGAAGGAAATGTGGGAACCAGGCAGAATAAGTCAATCAGGTGGCAGAAATGTAACAATAAAGCAAAACGACAGACTACTGTGGCAGTAGGACACTTGGACATATTAGAAATGTCATAACTAAGGATTATCCTAAATAACTGCAGATGTTAGTTATTGATAGTTATTGTTGTGTTTGCTGATATATGCGTTAAGTTAAACTTATACAGGATTGTCAGATTATTTGGTTGGTGTGAATGAAGTATTATTCAGATAACCTTGAGATCCTCCCTACTCTTAGGATTAGATGCATTGCACTTTTAGATAGAACGATATACCTACAAGATGTACCATGAACTATGTCAATTATATTGTCAGAACAATTGTCATTTTATATTACTATTAGCTACTGCTAGAGCCAGAGTCATCATTAAACACATGAAAGCTTTCCAGTCATAACACAAATGAGATGTTACAAGCAATATTCTCAAACATCATAGTCAATAAAAAATCCATTGTTCATTAGAGGTCATATATAATCAGCAAAATTCCATGCCCAACATCAGAAATGTGAGCATATCAAATTCTAACCAGAGCACAAAGTCTGGGCAAAAATCAACAAATGATACTCCACAGCGGGAAATTATTATTCAAGCATATAATGAGGCACAGTTATACTCACTTCTGCCACAGATGGCCACAGTTTGCTGAGCAGCTTGTTTAGCCATTTAACCTAAAAAAGCCCATGAAAAAGGTCATACACAAATAAAGAACTCTGCGTTGAAGCACAGAAACAAATAATAGGGTTTCTAGCATTCAACTTTGCAGGTGTGCCTAAGTAGCGTTATAACTCATGAGTCATAAATAAGGAGTGGCAATATAAACATTAACTTAGTGGGGGAATGTGGGTCAGCCGCCTAAGGCCCAGTAGCTAAGGCTTAACCTAATTCTCTAGGGTCACTTAGGCGCAAATCATGTATCGGTCAGATTAAGATAAAATCTGATCATTATCCCATATTCTCTCCATGATTTTAGGAATAATTTAGGAAGCAGAATCAGATCTACATTAATTAGGATTATCTGCATTAACTCAAACTATTCTCCCTTCTCCTATATATCACGTAAAGCTATTATTCAGTAACATACAGCATATTATTCAGAAATATTTCATGGTATTAGAGCTGTGATCAAACTCTACCCTAAATGGCATTCAAGCTTGCCCTCCTACAGCTGCACGTTTTTGCTGCTAATACCAAGGGGCACCATCCCTAATTCTACCCTCTCCAACCACTGATGCTTTTCCGGTTACCTATCGTCTAAATGGGAATAACTATTTACAATGGTCCCGCGATGCTTTGATGTTTGTTTGGGGTTGCAATAAGGAGAAATATCTCACTGAATCTCCACCAGCTTCCTCTAACTCTCAATTTGCTCCATGGCATGCAAAAAACAACCTAGTAATGGCATGGCTTGTTAACCCTATGACTGCTAATATAGGTGAAAACCATCTTCTCGCCACCACAGCCAAAGAAATCTAGGATTCAGCCAAAGCTACATACTTTGTCACTGAAAACACAGCAGCCTTGTTTCAAGTTAAGCGACACCCAACAAGAAGCAAAAGGGCAAACCTGACAACAAGGGAATGATGGTAGGTGGCACATCTACTGTAGACAATGCCTTTAGTTATGATGAGTTGATGTTATTGCGCATACTTTTGAACAAGGCACCTATCCTCTACTACTGACAGTGAGCCGTCTACCCCTTCTGTCACCCTTGCTCATACAAGTACTGTCTTAACTCATTTTTTTCACAGCATGACTACTACTAAAAATTTCTGGATTATAGATTCTGGCGCAACCCATCATATTACTGGCTTTAGGGAATTATATTCTGAATTCAGTGATTATTCCACCCACAACACCGTGAGAGTTGCTAATGCACAGTTTGCAAAGGTAAAAGGCTCTAGAATTGTTATTATTAACCCCAACATCATTTTGAAGGATGTCTTGTATGTCCCTGACATTGAATGCAGCTTGATGTCAATAAAACAGGTCACTGACCATCTTTGCTGCCTTGTTACATTTGATAATCATGGCTGTGTTTTTCAAGACTTGGCATCAAGAAAGAGGATTGGCGTTGCTAAGTTTTTCAAGACTTGTAGATCTGCTAACCAAACTCTATCAACGTGAAAGTTTGAAAGGCTTCACAAGCAAGTTGGGAAGGATGAACACCTCTTCGCCAACTGGAGAGGAAATGCCGAAAGATGAAGACTGATACGGCTCATAGAAAAAAAAAGAGGAAAAAATACTCAAGAACTATGATTAATATTCAAGAACCTCTCCCTTACGATAGGAAGGGTTTTACAATGTCAAAATGAGGCCTCAAACCAGTCACACATCTCTGGCTTTCGAGCAGCCAGTGCACTCCCTCTCTCTCAAAAAAAACAAATAAGCCATAGTCGTCCAAAAACAGGGACAACATGTCTCTAAGTATTACAAGAGTGCATTACATAGTTCGCCAAAATAGTCTAAAAGAACAGCTAACAGCAACTCTAAACTTTCGTCAAAACAGTAACAACTCCTAGGTCAACTTTCTGAATCAACAAAAGGCATCTTACTACTTTCATGTGTCTCCTTAGGCTTCCTTTTGTATGTGTGAGTAGCGAAAGTAAACACATCATTACCTGCCCCTAAAAGTTTCACCTTGTCCTCAGGGGAAAGGCGGGGAATTGTTTGTGAAGCATATCAACAGCTTCCTATGAATTCTCGAACTCGTGCATATCCTTCCACTTTACCAACGCCTCTACTTGCCTATTGAGTAACTTGCGAACTTTGCGGATGTCTTCAGGTTGTACCTACAGTTCTAACTCTGCAGAGATGGCAGCAGGGATTGTGGCTGTCACAACAAAAGCAGGGACTGATTTCTTGAGCTTGGAGACATGAAAAACAGGGTGAATGCAAGTGGAGGGGGGAAGTTCCAGCCAGTAAGCTCCTAGACCCACCTTCTCAATGATCTTAAAGGGGCCACAATAACGTGGACTGAGCTTTTCATTGATCCTTCTGGCTAATGTGCGCAACCGATAAGGTTGGATCTTAACATAAACCTTATCTCCCACTTCAAATTGAATGTCCCTTCAATGCTTGTCTACATATTCCTCCATCTTTTGTTGGGCTCAGGCTAAGTTTTCTCTCAAAAGAGAAATGACAGCATTCCGAGCAGCAAGCTGTTTGTTCACTTCTTCAATAGCGGAAAGTTCACTTTGTAATTTGAGAAAGATAGGAGGATCTCTCCCATAGACAGCTTTGAACAGAGTCATGTTGGCAGCACTATGATGAGAGGTATTATAGCAATATTCAGCCCAGGATGACCACTGAGCCCAGTGACTAGGCTTGTCACTAGTGAAGCAGCGTAAATAAGTTTCCAAGCCCCTATTCATGACTTCCGTTTGGCCATCGAATTCCAGATGATAAGTGGAGCTAAGGCATAGTTGGGTACCAACCTGTTTGAACAGCTCCTTCCAAAATTGGCTAATAAAGACCTTGTCCCTATCCTAAACAATGGTCTTAGGGAAACCATGTAGCCTTACAACCTCATGCACAAATACTTCAGCAACATCCTTGGCCGTAAATGGGTGAGACAGCAGTGGAAAATGTGCGTATTTGGTAAATCTGTCAACAACCACTAGTATGGTGTCATACCGCTTGGATTTAGGAAGCCCGGTGATGAAATCCATGCTTATATCTTCCCATATTTGTTGAGGAATAGGCAAAGGCTGAAGTAACCCAGCCGAATAAAGAGCTTGATATTTGTTCCTCTGGCATATATCGCATTGCGCCACGTACTTTGCATTATGCTCTTCATTCCCTCCCAATATACCACATTGGCTAAGCGTTTATAAGTGCGCAAGTAGCCAGCATGCCCACCTATGGGTGAGTCATGATATTCTTTAAGCAGTAATGGTATTCGCGATGAAATTCTAGGCAAAACCAGTCACCCTTTGTAGAGCAAACACCCCTTTTCTATACTGTGCCCTTTTATATAGGCAGGTTTGATCAGTATCTGCTGTATAATTTGACTGAGTTTCGGGTCAAATTGAACTTCCCTTTCCCAATCTTCAATTTCATCGTGCTGCCACGATGAGAATCCCTTTAACTCCATCACTTCCTCCTACCTAGACAGGGCATCAGCTGCACGGTTCTCTTTCCCAAGTTTATAAGTGATCTCAAACTTGAACCCCATTAATTTGGAGACCCACTTCTGTTGGTTTTCATCTACTATTCGCTGGTCCAATAGATACTTCAACACTTTCTGATCCGTCCTAATGACGAACTTCTGCCCCCATAAATAATGCCGCCATTTTTTAACTGTCATAACTATGGCCATGAGCTCTCTTTCATATACTGAACCTTGCTGAGTTGGATTAGAGAGTTTTTGGCTGAAGTAAGCCACCAGTCTACCACATTGCATTAAAACAACACCCACACCAATCCTAGAAGCATCGGTTTCCAACTCAAACGGAAGAAAAAAAATCCAGCATAACCAGCACCGAAAGCGTAGTCATGGCTGTTTTGAGCTGTTCAAATGCCTTTTCTACATCCGCGGTCCATTTAAAGGCATCCTTCTTTAGCAAATCAGTGAGTGGACTTGCTATTTTGCTATAGTCTTTAACAAATCGATGATAGTATCCAGTAAACCCTAGGAAACCCCTCAAAGATTTCACATGCTTAGGCTTAGGCCATTGCAACATGCTTTCTATTTTTGCTGAATCTGCCTGAACTCCCTCTTGGGAGATGATGTGACCGAGATACTCAATTCTGGGTTGAGCAAAACTGCACTTCTTCAAATTAATAACCAACTGGTTCTCTTTCAAACAAGTTAGCACAATGCTCAAGTGCTTCAAATGAGAGGTTAGGTCACTGCTATCTATAAGTATATCATCAAAAAACACAAGCACAAATTTATGCAAGTATTGGCGGAATACCTATTTCATAAGTAACTGAAAGGTAGACGGGGCATTAGTCAGTCCAAATGGCATGACTTTGAATTCATAATGGCCCTCATGGGTTCGAAAAGCTGTCTTGTACTCATCTCTGACTTTAATTCTGATTTGATGGTATCCTGATTTAAGGTCTAACTTGGAGAAGACAGTGGCCCCTTTCAACTCATCAAGCAGCTCATCTATGGTAGGAATGGGAAATTTATCTGGTACAGTGATTCGGTTTAGGGCCCGATAATCAACACAGAACCTCCAACTTCCATCCTTCTTCTTAACCAACAACACTAGGCTGGAATAAGGGCTGTTACTTGGTTGAATAATTCCACTTTGCAACATTTCCTGTACCACTTTCTCTATTTCGTTCTTCTGTAGGTGAGGGTACCGGTAAGGTCGAATGTTTGGTGGTTGCTCTCCTGGTTTGGTCACAATAGCATGGTCATGTGATCGATGGGGTGGTAGTCCGTCAAGAGCACGTCAGACCTCTGGGTGCTCATCTAGTAACTTTTGGATTGCCAGCATTAAACCAACAACTTCACTTCCCTCATTGACCAAGCCATTCCGTTGGTAAGTACCCAAGCTACTCTGAGATCTTTGGTCAAGTCCCTGAAGAAATAGACATGTTCTAGTTTCTTACCAATTTTCATGGTCAACTGACTCCAATTCACCTTAACTTCTCCCAATGATTTGAGCCATTCCATACCCAACATAGCATCTACTCCACTTAGAGGGAAAGGGTA